GGGTTTAGGGTATAGGGGCTTTAATAATTAGAGTAAGGTTTTGCGGCCCATTAAACTACTATTACAATAAGGAAACTCTAAGCTAGTATTTGGGCCCATATATTATGAGGGTTCTGTAAGGGCTTTCGGGGGGGGAGGGTTCAGGATTTAGTGATTTTGGGTTCAGGCCCAAAGCCCCGAATTGCCAGCCCCTTGATGTAGGGGTCTTAATAATTAGAATATGGTTTGGGGGGTTCCTTACTATAATTATAGTAGAAACCCTAAACCCTAAACCCTAAACCCTAAACCCTGTATTACTTTGGGGCCTCCTGGGCCTAACCCGACTATAGGGGGTCTAAATAGCTACATAATTACCTATGCTATTTTGGGTTTAGGGTTTAGGGTTTAGGGTTTAGGGTTTAGGTTCCTTATTACAGTTCTAGCATCATATACCCCGAAACTCTATTCTGATGATCAAGGCCCCTACAGTACATCGTTGACGGACGTGTCTTTTCCTGGGTTAAAAGGAAACTACAGGTGGGGAGTTTAGGGTATCATAGGGCTTCTATAAGGCTCCCATAAGGTATATAGACCTTCTATGAGGCTCCTATAACGGTAACTACCCACCTGAAAATGTCCTAGACTGGGAGTCTGGGGATTCCAGGCGGCGAGTTCAGCGGAGCTGCAATCACCCTTAAGGTCGCTTTGAAGGGGTGTACGCCCAGAGAGCCCACATGCCCCTTAATTAAGGAATGTAGCTTGAACCATAAGTTCATATGAAGCCCCTTACAATTTGAGGTATATTCCTTGATTAAGGGCTCTCTGGGGTATCGGGTTTGCGGGCAGAAGATGTGGCTGCAACGGCTATAAGTAGTCGGAAGCCCGTTCTTCGTACCGCTGCGATTCTGAGCCGCAGAAAACCCGAAATCAGGAACTATTAAACTTCCAGAATACACCTAGGAACTTCCAGTGATCCTACCAAGAAAGCACATAGGCTCAGGTATAGCATACAGAGGCCCCAAAGATTTTGCCCCTCAAACCTCCCTAAACCCTACCCCTAAACCCCAAACCCTATATAAACCCTACCCCTCAAACCCTAAACCCTAAACCCTGAACCCTAAACCCTACCCCTTAAACCCTAAACCCTGAACCCTAAACCCTACCCCTTAAACCCTAAACCCTACCCCTTAAACCCTAAACCCTGAACCCTAAACCCTACCCCTTGAACCCTAAACCCTGAACCCACGATCCGGCCTCTCCGGAAGCAGAGGATCACAGCATGCAGAACCTGGATGTGGGAAATCTCCAGCGTCTGGGGGTTTAGAGCTGTGGTTTAGGGTTTAGGG